GTTTTTTTTTTTCTTTTTCTCTTTCTCTCTCTCTCTCTCTCTGACGGCCGATACGTCTTTCTGTCCCTGTCCCCCCACACCCTTATTTTCGCCCTTTTTCCCCCCCCCCCCCCCCCCCCCCCCCCCCCCCCTTTCCTGCTCGCTAATGTACCTCCTGGATGCTGATTCTTTTAAGCTACGAAGAATTTCCTTTTGGGAGGTGAAACCCTCCAGCTCCTCCTGTTCAGAGGAAAGTGCTAGTGATGGTAATACGGGGTGACACTAAATAAACAGTTAAAGCAGGGCTGGAAAGATGGAGTTAATTATCCAGTGAGCTACATTTAAACCGAGACCAGGAGGGGCTGATTTGTTTTGGCGCAGGGAACTGAGAAGGAGACGAGCCACCGAGGTCTCCTTGCTCCTCCTTGGAGGCTCCTTAACTTGTCCTTGCTGTCGCCGGCCCCGGGGACCGGCTTCTTTTGGCCCGGGGGGGGGAGCCCGGCCGCCCCCCCCCCCCCCCCCCAGCCGCCGCCTGCGCAGCCCCGGCGCTGGGAAATTTCGGTGGGAGCCGTGTATGGGAGCGGGCGATTGCAGGGGGTCCAGAGGTGGGGTTTTTTCCGTGTTTGTTGGCTTTTTCTTCCCTAGAAGTTAGATAAATTTTCGTCGGTGCGGCTCGCCGGTGCCTGTGCTCCTCAGGTAAGTCTGCATACGAGCGGCAGCCCCGCGATGCGCTTTTGTTTTTTAAATTTTCCCTCCTCCTCCTTTTTTTCTTTCTTTTTTTTTTTTTTTTTTTAAGAAGTCTGATATTAATAATCCCCGTATGCCCCTCTTTCCGGGTCATTACGGTACTGCTGGTCTCTAATCAATCCTAATGCGATGGCAATTGGAGTCTCTGATGAATGCATCTCAGGTTTCTTGTAATGGCTCTACCACATTTTCCTGGACCTCCTTCTTTAACCTGAGATGCCAGGGGGACGTCTCCGTTCTCAGCTGCTGATTACTTCAAGATGTTTGGGCTGGTGTGGGGAGAGAGGGAGCGAGCGAGGCAGTCTGCCCCTGAATAATCTGGAACTGAATTGGATGAGCCGTTTCCTAAATCAAAGGACAACGGCGGGGTTTAACTCCTTTTCTGCACGGAAGCCTGCCGGCTTGCCTTCCAGCCGGCACCGGCTACGTTGCATCTCCCCTGCGTGTTCGTGTCCGTGTGCGTGACGCGACCCTCGGGTACCCACGCGTCTCCGGAGTGTGCAGGTCCCCCCACGGAAAGGGGGGGACTCCCCCCCATCCCCACCCGTTCACACCTCCCCAGACCCCCCCAGTGCTGCCGGGGTGGCT